TAGAGTTTTTTAAGGCAAGAGATGAGCAGAGGTAGTTTGCCATTGCCTGCTTCTGCACAGCATCCCTTGAGTTCCTTGGTAGTCTCCCATCCAAGTATTAACCTGCTTAGCTTTCAAGGTTTGATGAGATCAGGCTATGCTGGGCTATTCAGGCTATTCAAAGTGTACATAGCCAAATAATGCAAGCAGCCTTCAGTTACAGTGGACTTCTGTGTGTGGCCTTTGTTTTACTGTCACTGAGCTGAGCTGAGTGCTGTAGTTACGGCTCAAGTAAGTATATATGGCGCTCCAGGATCCAGAAGTTTGATAATGAGCAAAGTTGGCAGCTTAATGGAAACACTTACCTTCCTTGACAGGTTACCACAAAATCAACCATGGAGTTCTCCATTTGAGCAGCTGCCCCCTGGATACTTGTCATTTGGATAATATTTATCCCAAGGATCCCCTCTGGCAGAAGAAGACAATCAGCAAAAGGTCAGCATTTCTGAGAAAAGAACTTTGACAGCAAAAACATACTATCTGGAAACTTACAATGGAATCCTCCTAAGAACACTTTCCTGAGAGTAAGCCCTGTTGAATACACCTAAGCAGGATTAGTAGACCTGTTTAGGGTGGCTCTCTTAGTTAATATCAGAGCTTATTTCAGTCTGAAGACTGCCAGCAAAAGGCTGCCCATTAAAGTCAATGGACTTAGAATGGTGGAACTCTGCTTAGGACATCACTGCAGTTAACATACAGTGGGCACACACACCCCAGTGCCTCTTCCCAAAGAGTAAGTGGATGCATTATAATGACTGAATATTGGAAATGTATGCGATTTCTGCCTCCTGCTGTTTAACTGTATGATCTACCCAACAGGATTAATGCACATGTCGATCTATTTCAAATGGTAACTTAGGGTTGTGAATCTAAGCACATTTAAATTAGAGACAAGGTCCATTGAAATTAATGGGGTGCAAATCTCATTTGCTGTATGAACAAAGAAATATAGTGGAAGAGCTGTAGTTCAACTGCTCTACATGTGTGATTTTTTTTTTAAAAAAGGACAACTCTGCTGAAGTGTCAGAAAGGATGTGCAAATGCAGATGACAGCCTGATGAAGTAGCAGGACACAGAACTTCTAAATAAGCACAAATGTTTATTGGCAAGTCTGCTTAGCAGAGTGCTCAGTAACATGGATTGAGGTTAGAATTGTCCCTTTACTGAAGCTACAGAACAAATAATTTTCTGAAATGTGTCCCATTACATGAAATAACAGGCACACACTGTGAGGATAAGACTTCCTTGTGCAATTAGGACAATATGACAGCGGTGTTTCCATTACACCCTGCCAAACCATGGCCTTTCCTTACTGACGGAGATCATACCTGCAATGGAGAGAGACGATTGATACTGTCCGTATCGGGTAATATGGCACCCTTCAGCAGTCCCTCTTCTGTTGGAAGTTCCATTAAACTATCAAAGCGAGGAGTTGTCACATTAGGAGCCACTTTAGTCGTTAACGCTGAATCAAGTGGAAAGGAAAGGAGTTAATGCAGATACATTTATATCAAAACATTTTGGGCAGAATTGACCAGTAACTTCTTTTGGTCTCTAGCTCAGCACCTGTCAGGGAGCTGACATATAGGGAGGACCACTGCCTGGTATTTTAACTTTCGGTTCTTACTGCCTGACAATACTCTGTGTTTTATGTGCCTGACCTTGAGTGCCTAGCTGTAACACATTCCCTGAGAACCAGGGGTCATTTCCTGCAGGAGCGCACAGGAGCGGAGCTCCGGCAGTAAAGAGCCCAGGGGGCAGGCACATGCAGCAATCCCCACCCCCTGCTCCCAGCAGCCCTCAGTCAGAGCAAGAGGAAGCCAGGTAAGTTGCAGAGCCCCCCCGACCCCAAACAGTCCAGTGGCACCTTTAAGACCTAGTTTTATTCAGGTACAAGCTCTTCCTCCTCTGCGAGGACAGATCTGCACGTTCCCCCCCCCCCATAGCTAGCAATCCAAAGCAGTCCAGTGGAGCCTGAGCGGTGGGTGTTGCCTTCTGACACACTTCCGGTGATGTCAGGGGGTGTGGCATATGCAAACAAGTTATGCTCATGAGCTCCTGCACCTCTTTTTCTACGAAATGACCCCTGCTGAGTACTATCCTGTTGCCAGGGCCCGGTACTTTGGGAGGGCTCCTCCTAATGCCTTGATTGGCTACGCACCATCAAGGTACCCCTTTGAACCCAGTATATCTCCCATCCCCGCGCCTTTTCCATTAGTCTTAACACAAATCCTGAAATGTAGATGTACTGCCAGTACTATACCAATATACTTCTGAAGAAGAGAGTTGTTGGATCTGATTGCTGTAGGAGTCTGACAGCACCTATTCATTGTAATGAGGCAGGAAAATTACCTGGTAGGATTGTGACTATTCTGAATTTTAATTGAGATTGGATGTATGTATTTCATACTATTCATCAAAGGCACATAAAATTGGGGGAGGACTGTGGCTCAGTGATAGAGCCTCTGCTTTGTATGCAGATGGCCCCAGGTTCAATCCCCAGCATCCCCAGTTAAAAGGGTTAGGGTTAGGGCAATGTGAAAGACCTTTGCCTGAGACCCCAAAGAGCCCCTGCCAGTCTGAGTACTCAGTATTGACCTTGATGGACTGAGGGTCTGATTCAGTATAAGGCAGATTCATATGTTCATCCAAATGACAGTGCTTGTTCCTCACTGGTTGGATGTGACAGTGAGACTCTTGTACAGTTTACAGTTTCTCTAAAGATTTTGTGCATAGCAAAAGATCTGTGCTTACGATTTCCCATGTCTTGTTGCAGTGCCCCTTCTACCATGCACTACGACTGAAATTTCTAAATTTTATTTTAGCTCAATTAGAAGAATATCCTGATTGCCTAAAGATCCTTATTCTTCTTGATAACCCAAACCTTGAGATAATGGAAACTGTTGCTAAATTTCTTCTTGGTGCCATTTCTTTGTTGTTCAGTCGCACAGTCGAGTCCGACTCTTCGCGACCCCATTTCTATTCGCCCTTTATTTAATTGATGGATATACTTAATTGGTAATTCCTCATTTCTGTATTTTGCAAGTATTATTCTATGCTGTGGAGTTTTGGGGGGTTTTTTTTGTACATGGGTTTGCAAGGGTTACATGCCAATAAAGGTAACTGGATTGATTGATTTAATCAAAGCCAATAATGATTTAATCAATGCCAATAAAGGTAACTGGATTGATTGATTTAATCAAAGCCATGCAGGGGTCGTAGTTTAGTTTAATGGCAGGTTGGTAGGTATAAGGACTTCAAAACTCATTGAGGTAAGGCAGGAAAAATTTTCAGAGCCAATATATGACACAATAAAAATGTGTACTTCAACTTACCCATTAGCAGGGGGAGAGTTTTTTAAACATACGGTGGTCTCTCTGCCTACTTGGTTAGCTGTGTTTCTGATGTTGGGTGACTTACTACTCCTTTCAGGGGTTTTTCTTATTGGAAGGCTTGTATGAGCAAGGGGCAGGGAAGGTGAAAATGTGCTTAGGCATGGGCCATACGTATTGTCTTGCCTGGCTCTTCCAGCCAGGGTGTTAAATGCAGAAGAAATAGCAAATCTTAATCTGTTGGAGATGCTGAACCATTTGCTAATTACTGCTACAAATCTGAATTGTTAATAGAATTGACCAGTTCCCTTACTTTACACTGATCCACAGACTCTTACCTGGGAAGGTGGGGAATGGTGGAGGAGGTGTCACAGGTCCACAAGGGGCAGGTATAATAGCTTCAACAGTCAAGTTAAGGCTGAAATTTCCCACGAGTGTATATGTGTGCATTGAAACAGGATCACTGAAAACAAAAGAGCCACTGCCATCTCCAAAATCCCAGTGGTAGGAAACAACAGAGTGGTTCAGGTAGTGGCTGGGGTCATGAACACGGACTTCAAATGTAATAGGGATGTCCTTGATGAAGATATGGTCTGAAGCATTGCGATCATTCTTCTGAGTCATGGTCACATGTAAGGGGATAGTATCTGCATATAAAATAAAGTCAAAAGAAAGATTCAGACTACGGCTGAACCGAAAATAGATACTTTCATAAGAATCTTTCATAGTTGTGGAAGGAACTGACATTATCCTTGCTAACACAGGTTCTCAAACCTTCATCCAGCTATAGACCCACAAACCATTTCTTCAGCCAGGCAAACTGAACTTATTTGTTTTCTCCAGCCCATGCTGGAGAAGAAACTGGTGAAATGCACTCTGTGAAGAGAATCAACTTAAACATCCCTCTCCCACTGTCAAGTCTCTCCATGTAGTGCTTAGTGGGAACCTGTCAGCCCCAGTGGTTATTCTCTGAGAAAGATTCAAGCAGTCAGCCACAATCCGTGTGGTTGTTCGTGACTGAAACATTCTCAAGGACAACTGCTGTGGATAAATGGCTGACATAGGGCTGGGAGAACAAGTATATTCCAGTGCCTGTCACATCCATAGAGGGGTTTTTTTGGAATTTTTAATGTTTGTGTGCGTATGTGTGTGTGAGAGAGAGAGAGAGAGAGAAAGAGAGAGAGAGAGAGAGAGAGAGAGCGCGCACCTGGAAGTCATGGTGACCTCTGGTGACTAACCCCTAGTGGGGGCCTGGAGGATATTCAGAGAGGTGGCTGAATAAAGCCTGCCCCTGTCCTCCGACTGCTGGTATTTCAAGGAGGTCTCTCATCGAAGTACTTGCCAGAGACAACCCTGCTTAGCTTCTGAGATCTGACGAGATCAGGCTTGCCTGGGCTATCCAGGTCAGGGCCCCCATTGTGCCCATGTTGAACCTCTAGGGTAAACAGTACAGATTTGCCAAGCTACGATTTAACCTTCCCCACTCACCTGTTACCACATAAACAGCACTTGCAGTTGTTACTGGTACATATGACCGAAAACCTCTTCTGTAAATTGATACTTCCATAATGTGGCTGCCAAGAGTGATATTTGTTGTGTTAATGGAAACAATGGCTGAAGAGCCTCCTGTCTTTTGGTAGTACTGCCCTGTGAAAAGATGAAAAGGTGGGGCAATAGTACTATTGCTCTGAGTACTATTCCTCTTTGTCTTCGGAAAAGGTCACATGAACACTAATTTTTACTAAATATCCTTCACAAAAATATTGATGAAAGCACAGGTCTTCTGACGTGAACACTTATCTGCAGTCTTCCTGTCCCCACTCAGCAATCCTTTGCCATCTAATTCCAGTGTGGTGTAGTGTCTAGGGTGCCGAACTAGGAACTGGGATATCCAGGTGCGAATCCTGCACAACTACAGCAGGTCACTTCCATGTGTCAAAAATGTGTCATGCCAGTTTTTCTTTTAAATTTGAACTGTTCTCCTATAACCATAATATGCACCTAGGAGAGCTATAACTGTATGCATCTGATAAAGTGAGCTCTGACTTACTGAAGCTAAATAAAGCTGGAATAAATGTTATTATCCTTTAAGGTGCAACTGGATTCGAGTTTTATTTGAGAGAGTTGCACATTTTTAAAAATCTTCCTTCTAAAATTTAGAGAATTCGATAAAACAACTTATGTATTCTCAAAGCAGTTCTGAACTGACCTCTCACAAAACTGTGGATAAATTTCTCTTAGAGAATCCTTAATAGTGAACATTAAGGAAATTAATATAGGACTTTGCACTTTTAAAAGTGCCAAATATAATAGAATAATACTAAAAAGACATGCTAATTTATTGGACTGACCAAGTGTATGAAACATATACACGAAGTTTCTTCTCCTCCAGTCATGATGGTGTGGGAAAGGTCTTCCATCAGGGAACATATTGTGGCTGCTGTTGTGTGTGCAGTTCTATGACAAACTACAACCACTCATTCATGCTTTTTGATCACAAAGTTCAGTATTTAGTTATAAGCTTTATGGGGGGAAATGTAGTTTCACTTGATATGGAAACAATACTATATGGAAGGAATTCACACCAGGACACTCATCAGTAATATCTCCACACAGCTGTAGTGTCTCTGTGGAAAGAAGGTTGTGGCAGATCACTTACTCCTTCATCCATCCCACTTCTGTTAATTTCAAAGGAGAATTTTGTAGCTGTCCATCTATTAATTTCTATTTAAATATGACAATATTTCCCCCTATATGTGTATACTCACTCAAATTTAAAAGGAAGGGGGGAAATCCCTAGAGTCTATTGCTGGTCTGAATGGGGAATAAAAATGTGGAGTGTAGCTATTACTTACTATTTTTGCAGTTTCTATCATATATGATGTTGCTGTCATTGTCTTCTTTTTGGCATCTGGGGAACTTCAGATTCACACTGAAGGTCACATTGGATCCCACCAGAGCTGGGCTATCACTGGTCAAACTTGCCAGGACCTTCCCCCCTGAGGAGGTTAAAATTGTATTTAAATGATATGCATGGTCCATTAAACATTTTACAACACTTTTCCAAAATGCTCAGAATACTTCACATTCATTATCTTAATGAACAACCCTGTAATGTGGACCAGTATTATTATCCCCATGTTACAGAAAAGGGATAAGGAGGGACTATGAGATGAAGGGCTTATGCACCTGAGAGCCAATGCTCAGGGTTGAAATCCTCCAGGTGGTGCCTGGAAGTCTCCTAGAATTACAACTAATATCCACACTACAAAGATCAGTTCCCTTGTGGAACATGTGGAACAGCTGTGTCCATGGCATTGGACCCCAGCTGAGGTCCCTTCCTTCCCTCAACCATGCCCTTCCCCAAATATTCAGGAATTTCCTGACTCAGAACTAGCGATCCTAAAATCGGTTCAGGGTTCAGGAGGCTGTGCTCTAGGTACCATATGCCAGTGAAAGTCTTCACTGTGGTAGAACTCACTGTCAAGAGATACTTACCAGCCCAGTGCTTAAAGTCTTGCAGAAGTTAAAATGTTTATTTTTAAAGCAGATATTTGTCTTGCAGAATTCAAAATGCTTTTTTTAAAAAGCAGGCATTAGATTAGATTTGATCTGGATTCATTTTAATGTTACTTTTCTTTTTCTTGATATTGCTATTCGTTTTTAATTGTCATTTTACTTATTTTTATATTGTCACCTTATGTTTTCATTAGGGAAATAAAGATGGAGCAGAAATTGAGCAAAAATAAGTTAAAAAATTTGAAAGGGAATGCCAGTACATAATGCTCATGGCTGTCAGGCCCTATGACCAGTTTGCTCTTTGCATGATTGATCCATATCAACAGGAATAGCTGCACAGGCTGAAAAAGAAACTCCATGCATGTGGACTGGGCCAATAGATGCTAACCAGCAGACAGACTCAATCTGTCAATCCCACTCAATCAAGGGAGCCACCGCCCTTAGTTTGCAAGACCTGAGAATGGATGTTAACCATAGGACATTTTGGAGGACAGTAATTCTTACAGTAGCTCCTGTAAGAAGAGCTCTGTAAGCTCTTGGAGGATTGGCTACATTAGGGGTGTGTGGCCTAATATGCAAAGGAGTTCCTGCTACAAAAAGAGCCCTGCTAGGGTCGCCATAAATTGGAAGCAACGTGACAGCACTTAACCCACACAGCAGACAGACTGACCCATATTAACATCTAGTGCAGCTTCCCAAAAGGAAAAGTTTCAGCCAAGCAGACCAATTGATCTGGAAACCACAACTAATTTCAGAATAGAAACAAGATTTCAATGCAAAACTCATAAATTTTAAAAAAGAAATAAGCCCATATATTGGCAGGTGGTGTATATAATTGCAGTCCCATGGAAATAATGCAAGAACACCCCCTCTGTTTGTCTCTCTGAAGAACGTTTCAGAGGCAGATGTGGGTGCCCTGCAAATGTACTGTCCTGCCTCTGCTGGTTTTGTGCTGGATGCTGCTGCTGCTGCTGTGGTCCAAACAGGCTAGGGCTTGGCATCCAGGAACTCCTTTGAGAATGCCTTTACTGCACTTTGTCTTGGCATCCAGGAACTCCTTTGAGAATGCTTTTACTGCATTTAACTCCCCTCCCCATTTTTAATAGTACCTCTGTTATAAATAAAAGCCAATTTAATTTCACCAAAAAGAAGCACATTTTTTCTGGCTTGGCTTCTGCGGGCATTATATTGTCTGTATTGCTATACTGTCACATGCAGTTGTTTTCGCATAAACGCACTATAATAAAAAGTAATACCAAGCTACTGATCTCTGTGATTCAACACGGCTTGTATAAGTCCTACCTTTCCAGCAGTTCTCCCATCTGGCATCCCCGTCTTCCCAGTAAGGGTAAAGCTTTTCATTCCAGTTATTGTGATCCGAAGACCAACCACTGAGCCTCCTATGGAATGTGATATGGGAAGAAGCTCTGCCTCGAGTCATCACATCCCGAAATCCTGAAAAGCAAAGCAAACAGTTTATCACTGTGTTCTTATGATCCTGTTGTCTTTTTTCCATTCACTTAAGGGGCATACAACACACGATGCCAGATTTTCTGATTGGAACTCCAGATGTGCAGTTTGGCCTAAAAAGCATGGATCAAGACCATAGCACTGGATAAATGAAAGTTAATTCTTCCCTGTGCACCATTGCTTTGATCTGCAACCCCCTCTGGATTGCATTTAACACTGCAGGGGAAAAGACAGGTATTTGTACTGGGCCTGTCTTTCCCCCTTACTAGGAACATAAAGCAACCTAATCCAGCCATTTTAACTGGAGAGATGCTGCCAGGAAGGAAGAATTTACCCCCTCCCTCAGCATCACAAGCCCAAAGCATATCAGCCCCCTCATCACAGCTGAACACATCTTAGTAAGGCCAAACGCATCTGCAGTTCTAGCCACAGAACTCCAGGATCACATGTAGCATCACATCGCCTTACTTTTTGGTGTCAATGTATGGGACTTCAGAAACACAAAGAAAGCACATGACTAAACCATGACCCTTTGATATTTCCCCATAGCCTATGGCATGTTCAAAAGCTACAGAAAGGACCTTTGTAATATAAAGGCACATGAATGAACACTCTCTCATCCTTTATTTACTTGTCTTTTTCATTCTCAGAAACACTTTTTGAATGCTTTCGTTGGCTTGTAAATGAGTAACAGTTGCTATAAATCGGTAACAGCTGGATACTTGCAGGAGCATTATAGAATGCTGCTAGGAAGCTTCAAGAATGCGTGTTTGGCATGCCCAGGCATGTATCACAACAAATTTTGCATAGTTTGGATGACTGAAATAATAGGATGTACCACGGCAGCTCAGATTCATACCAAGAAACAAATTATGGCTGTAATCTTTGCTTGAAATGTATGAGTCCTTGGACAGGCGGCAGTCTTTTATACACCTGCCTCAAGGCACATGTGACTAATTCAATGATTTAGAGTTTGTTTGGAAAGGCACACTAGCTTTTATTGTTCACATCCAGTCTTGCAACTCTTCCCTGGAGGTTAGTAGTCACTCAAAGCATAGCACATTGATGGATGGAGGACTCTTTCTCTTTCCTGTCTGCTTGTCTAACTCAATCTGGAAGGAGGCGCTCTCTCTCTCTCTCATCTGTCTCTTGTCTGTCTGTCTGTCTCTCTCTCTCATCCTTTATATCAAGACAAGCAGCCTAAGAGCTGGCAGACATACTGCACCCCTCTTCTGGCTGCCATTGTGGTTTTGTTCAGTGTGAGAGACTGTGAAAAATCTTAGGGGTGTTTTGGAGATGGTTGATAGTTAATTGCTGTCACTAATTGTAATTTATTTATAAGAAATGATTAGTGCTGAATATTAATATATATGAGTACAAAGGTTGTTTGTATTGTGTAGGAACTTTGGCATATTCAATTAGGGGGTCCTAGTTGTGAAAGCCTGTGTTGAATACGAGACTCAAGGCAGCAGGTGAACAGTGATAACAGCTTTATTCATAAGTCAGAAGAAATCAAGAACGAGACAAAAACAGAGCAACAAGCTCTCTTTTAAACAGTCCGGGCTTAGGTAGCCACGCCCACAAGTCAGCTAACAACCAATCACTATTTACAAATAAGGTCCAATTAGAGTGCTTCCCTCCAGAACATTGCGCAGCTCTGATTGGTGTATTTACAATCCTGGTTTAGAACTCAAGCTTAACATAGGTTTCAATACACAACAGCCTGGCTACAATTTTCGTTTAAAAGAGAGCCATGTAGCTACAAACCCAGTTAGAAATGCACTGAAAAACAGAGCAACAGGCTCTCTTTTAAACAGTCCGGGCTTAGGTAGCCATGCCCACAAGTCAGCTAACAACCAATCACTATTTACAAATAAGGTCCAATCAGAGTGCTTCCCTCCAGAACATTGCACAGCTCTGATTGGTGTATTTACAATCCTGGTTTAGAACTCAAGCTTAACATAGGTTTCAACACACAACAGCCTGGCTACAATTTTTGTTTAAAAGAGAGCCATGTAGCTACAAAACCAGTTAGAAATGCACTAGGCATCTGTAGGAGGCCTTGGGTCAAGATGCTTCAAAATATACCTGAGGGTTACCTGTTCTCTAGGTAGAGAAAAAATCAGTAGCGATCACAGAAATGTGTATACTGGAACATGACAACTAACTGAACAGGCCTCAACTAGGCTTGCTAGTTCCCTACTCCCAGTGGGAGTGCCGCTGCCACTCAATTGGTCGATGGAGGCAAAATTGGGGAACACCAGTGGTGTCCTAATGTGCTGCTGTCACGCCCTGTGCTCCTGGAAGTGATGTCAGTGCATCACTGGGGGATGCTGGGGATGCTCTGGAACTTGGGCAAAACTCAGACCCATAGAACCATAGAGTTTTGCCCAAATGCCAGAGTGTCTCCAGTGTCCCCCGGTGACACACTGATGTCACTTCCAAGAGCACAGGGAGTGACAGCAGCACATCACTGGTGAGGGCCCCCACGGGTTGCCAAGCCAACCTGGCAGCCCTAGCTTCAACTTGGCCTCAGTAACTCCTCCAGTAAGCATCACAAGACTAGAGCCTCTCTTTTCTAGAGAGCTTTAAAGTGACAACACTAATAAACCACAAGAGTATACATAAGGATATAAGAACATAAGAGAAGCCAATGTTGGATCAGGCCAATGGCCCATCCAGTCCAACACTCTGTCACACAGTGGCCAAAAATACCAGGTGATATCAGGAGGTCCACCAGTGGGGCCATTACCTATGCCATTGCATGATAACTTGGCCTCAGTAACTCCTACAGTAAGCATCACTAGAGCCTCTCTTTTCTAGAGAGCTTTAAAGTGACAACACCAATAAACCACAAGAGTATACATAAGAATATAAGAACATAAGAGAAGCCAATGTTGGATCAGGCCAATGGCCCATCCAGTCCAACACTCTGTCACACAGTGGCCAAAAATACCAGGTGATATCAGGAGGTCCACCAGTGGGGCCATTTACTTATGCCATTGCACGGATCAGGAGGTCCACCAGTGGGGCCATTACCTATGCCATTGCATGATACCCTTTTATGTGATGCTTCAGTAAGGGTAGTATATGAAACCCACTGACCATACAACAAATGGAAGCACAGTGGATGGTTTACATGGATTTGCAGAGAGCAACAAGTGGTAGGCTTGCTGTGGTCCATCACTTTTTAAAAAATCCTGCCCATCATTTACTCCAGCATTCAAGCTGTACAACACAGAAATGTAAAACCTCCAAACCACTAAAAAAAAAGCCGCAGTACATATAGTTTTATAAGAAAGGGATTGAGGGAATTGAGGCAGGGGAATTGTGTTGTTTTCCTGTAATAATAATGTAACAAATGGCATACATCAGGTGGTGCTCATGCCGCCACACACAGAACTGCACATACATCAGCAATTAATGAGATGCTTGGCAGTGTTAGCAGTGGGACAGGGGCAGGGACGATGTTTCCCAGGCATAATATATGGCAGAAAATAAAGTAGACTTGATCTATAGGAATGCCTTGAGGGAAACTCACAGACTTTGCACTACAAATCAAAGCTGAATACGCTCCCAGTGTATTGAAAACAAACAGTGCAGGGTACAGAATGGCTGGCAATGTGACCCTGCTCTCCCATCTGCATAAATATTTCTGTGATCTACTTTGCAGGTTTATTTTAAGACTTAGAGGATTGGTAAACCTTTTTTCATACTGAAATCCTACTTTCCCCCAACCCTTTCTTCAGAGTTACCAACCTCCAGGTGGGTCCCGGAGTTTTCCTAGATTATACTAATCTAAATCTCCAGATTACAGAGTTTAGCTCCCTTCCCTCCCCAAAGTCCACCCTTCCTGGGCACTGCCCTAGAATTTCCCAGTCTGCAGCTGGCAAGCCCACCTTTCCCCAATCCCCCTTTTTAGGAATGGGTTGTGTATGTGAGAGAGAAAGAACGGGATAAGTGTTAAAGCAGGAGGTGTCAGCAGATCATTGGGGCATGGAAAGGAGAACACTGAGACAGCATTCAGAAACCAAAACAGGCTTCAAATGGAACAAGATTGTGTACCCCCCCCCAAAACTGGCTGCTGATTTTGTTTTGTCCTTACTGCCAGTATTCACCCTGGGATTAATGGCGGCAGCACACACTGCTGATTCCCTTAGGGATTGCGCCAAATCCCTGCTGGCTGCAGTACAAACAGGTCAGAGGAAGACATTTGGCGGAAATGCATGGGGGTCACATTACCTTTTTCTCACTGCTTTCACTTCCCTGCTTCTGCTCTCGACTACACTATCCTTCAGGGTGTCCAGGTGAGACTTTCTTGTTGGCTTGTTTAACACACTCGCATATATGCAGATTACAAAGAATTTTACCTTCAAATAATATATATATTTTATTGCATAGCTTCTTGTGACAAAACTCCTAACTGCATCATCTGACGCTCTGGATGAAAGCCCAAGAAAAAAATTCTTTTGAATTCCTTACTTATTTTAATTAAAGCATAAGGCGCTTCATGAAGTGGCCTTGCTTGTGCCAGCCTCAACAACAAACCCTCTGTTTGAAAAGGCTGCTTGAGATTTTCCCCATGTTATGAAAGAGAAGCATTAAAATAAAAACATGCACCAGTTGAGGCACAAATTGCTACCAGATGAAAAGAAGCTTCCTCTATCAAAGCGTTCACTTTAACCGGAAGTATTTTTGAAGGAGTCTACATTTCCTACACTTCTAACCCTATGCAATATACATTGCCACAGGAGGTGGCGGCAGCTACAAGCATGGATGGCTTCAAGAGGGAATTAGATAAGCATATGGAGCAGAGGTCCATCAGTCGCTATTAGTCACAAGGTATAGATTGGAACTCTCAGTCTGGGACAAGTGATGCTCTGTATTCTTGGTGCTTGGGGGGGCAACAGTGGGAGGGTTCTAGTGTCCTGGCCCCACTGCTGGACCTCCTGATGGCACCTGGTATTTTTGGCCACTGTATGGGTCATTGGCCTGATGCAACATTGGCTTCTCTTATGTTCTTACGTAATATTATACCCTTTTCTTCCTGGAGTAATTGCCTGCCTCCACTTCTGTGCACACAGTAGTCCTTTTCAGACCTTCTACAGTGATAGAAAGAATGCATGGGGTGGGGTGGGAGTGAAAAAAATCATGGTGGCATACTCTGCCCTCCCCCCAGTTGAGATGTGTACACACAGAGCCTCTGCACATATACATGCAAATGTTATCTCAAAGAAACTGAGAAAGTATACACATAGGACGGGGGGGAAGCTAATAAGTAATGTGGATCCGTGGTGGAAAATGCCATTCAAGTCACAGCTGACATATGGCAACCCCATAGGGTTTTCAAGCAAAGAACACTGAAAAGGGAGCAAAAAGTATTCAAAATCCCAATCCAACCTTGATGAGACAGTAAATCATCTTGAACCATGAGTTAAAAATAGCTCAGAGAAGATTAGCTGTCATCATACTTAATTTCACCCAGATATTCCATATATCCTTCTTTCTGTATTACTAGAATACAGGGAGAATGTTTCTCTTATCAAACCCCATATGGGTTAATAAATTGTTTCATTTCATTTGTAAGGGTACTTCCATATTTCCCCCCCTCAAAGCACAATGACTAGGTGTGGAATTTAAAGTAGAAAAGTGGCAAAAGGGTATGGTTGTCAGCTGGAGATTTGGGAGGGGGGGTGGAGGCTGAGGAGGGCAGGATTTGGGGAGGGGAGGGACTTTAATGGGCTACAATGCCATAGAGCCCACCTTCCAAAGCATCTGTTTGTTCCAGGTGAAGTGATCTCTGTCTCCAGGAGATCAGTTGTAATCCCAGGAGACCTCCAGCTGCTCCCTGGAGGTTGGCAACCCTACAAAAGGGCACGAGGATTCCTTCCTTCAACCTTCTGTTTTCCTGCTCCTTCCCTGAGAGCCTCCCCCCTCCCATTTAAATGGTATGCTTGTCCTGGCTTGTGAACATGTTTTGAGCCCCATGGGGGGGGGGGGCTTGAGGACTAATTTGCAGCAGAAAAATGGGGAGTTGGCAAAAAAGAAGAAGAAGAAAAAGAAGAAGAGATTGGATTTATACCCTGCCCTTCACTACCCAAAGAGCGGCTTACAAACTCCTTTCCCTTCCCCTCCCCACAACAGACACCCTGTGAGGTAGTTGGGGCTGAGAGCTCTGACAGAAGCTGCTCTTTTTCATGGACAGCTCTTATTAGAACTATGGCTTGCCCAAGGTCATCCAGCCAGGTGCAAGTGGAGGAGTGGGGAATCAAGCCTGGTTTTCCCAGATTAGAGTCTGCGCACTTAACCACTACACCAAACTGGCTCTCCAATGGAATTGGCACCCATTTCTGCTTCCTCTTTGCTTTACGTTTCCCCCTTCTACCATGGGCTTTGCTTTTTAAAAGTGTTGTTGGGGCACATTCACACAGATTAGCATGTAACATGTAACTAATACCTTTGTATGTGCCCTGTCTGTCACAGAGGCCACTGCTTCTGAAGTGGTCTGTTCCATCCAAAGAGGTGTGAAAGTGTGACTTAGGGATGCCACCTGAGCAGCTAAACTGGCCTGACTGACTGTTTTGGTGGATTCACAAAGGTGAAGCTTTTCATAATCTGGAAAAAAGCATGGTCTAATGTGTGAAAATCAAAGCTAAAGACAAGAGGTGGAAGCCAATAAAAATCTAGCAATTTCCCTGATTTAGTTTGGGGTTGTCATCCTTTTCTGGAAAGACTTTTTGTGTTTTTAACAGCTGGATGACAGGCAGAAATTCAAAAGCTGAAGTATCATAGGGGAAAAACCATGCCTGTTGAATTATTGCTTGGCTTGGAGCTGTTTAAAAGTCACAGGAGTTCTCCCGGAATGAAAAGATGGCAACAGTACTTCATAATCAACTGCATTAGTAATTGTTCATAGGTTTACCATAGAAGAATGATTCCCATCCTTTCCAACTGCATCTCCCCATTTTAAGCCCTTTTGAACCTTCCTTCTACTGTTTTCTCATGGTAATCGCAAGCTGCTTGGGGCAAGAACCTGACTGTTGTTACATATACAGCTCTACCATACCGTGCAAACTGTGGACTCTATACAAATCAGTCCTTATCAGTGGAATATGGGATGTTGGAAGGAAGCATATGGATCTGGATCTCTATCTCTTATTCCCTTGCTACGTATCCACAGGTGCAGATACATGTCCAGTATTATGAAGTCTGAAAAATGTAAGGGAGGGCAGCATCAGAAACAAAACCCACTTAACACTGCATACACTATGCATGGTAGTATTCCCATGTTAAACTACTTCAGAAGAACTCATAATCTGCCAGGTTTCATATACAAGATCACAAATATGATTCTTTTACAATTGTCAACTTTGCCAGCTTTCTTACTGGCCCTTGTTCCTGTGCCTTTAGCAGCACCTTACCCTGCATGTTAGCAGGTTGTCATGTTTACCTGTATGCCCTGAAAAGCTTCACCTGTCAATTTCTGCAGATCAAGCTATTGTTAAGGGCAGAAGAGCAAGCCAGGCCAGGGTCTTCTGGTCAGTTGGCACCAAAGGGATGTCCTGAGGCAATCAAAAGGGGGAGATAAGGCACTCACGTTTGGTGGCAGCGGCAGGTACAACTTCTTCAACCACAAGCAAGCATCCAAGAAGGCAGAGGAAACAAGCCCACTTCATGATAGTATAAGTACAACCGGACTCACGGACCACAAATCTTTCTTGGGTCAGCTTGTTGTTTTCCTGGACCTCTTTTGAGTTGAGCTGGGGATAATGTTTCACTGCTGCCCTCCTCCCCTCTGATTAAATTTAGGCCCTTGGGCTCATCATGTGATGGCATTAAGGAGGGATGCATGATTTTGTGTCTTCGGCCCTCCTTTTCCCAGCTCATGTGCTTATGACTCATTCCTCTGACTTTCAGCATCCACTGGGATTTTTTTTCTTTAAACAGCTTGGCTGAGGCACTTAGGCCTTTTGTCTCTCAGGTACTTCTGGGGTAATTTTGCACAGATGTTTATTTTGCACCAAGACACGAATTCATGCAGGAGAGGAGGGATGAGTGGCTTCTCTTTTATAGGCAGGGGACTGCCCCTCTTTTTCGGAGGCAGGGTAATTGAAAGAGCTCTATAATGGTGTTGGCACCACCTAGCAGGAAGGGTGTCACTGTTACGGAGAAAAGGCACTCAGACATGGCTGGCATATTATATACAAAACCCAGAGGAATGTAACAGAAAGTGCCTGCCTTGCTCAACTGACACTTTTCTTTTTACTGCAAATGAAACAGTGAACAAAACATTTACACCACCTAGTTTAAAATTTGAGGCCACTATGGGGCACGTCACCTTGCATTGTGGGCCAAACCCAGCCTATGGGCCACTAGTTGCTCTCATACATGTCCAGAAGAGATTTGGGAGGCGCAGTTTCTTACATTGTAGTACGGGGGACACACACATTATCCTAGCTCTCAAAAATCCGGGAATCATCTTAAAAGCATAGGCTGCATTTAGGTGGAAATGGTATTTTATTGGAGATAAAAGCTATGTACATTCATTTCTACCTGTGGTGTTGGGTTTTGTGCTAACCAGTACTTCTGAATATTCACAGTGCAATCCTAACTGAAGTCAGTGGGTAACTCTGCTTCAGATTGTGCTGTAATTGTGATGGCATGGTGAAAACTGGCTTTTGAAAAGTATTGTTGGGGCACAAAATTGGCAATCCTGTGAAAGACAACAACTTACCTAAGGCTGCTAGATGAACATCATGGCTGAGCAGACAATTTTGAGCCCAAACATTCTGAAACCAGCACGGGGTAACGGCTACTGTGTCAGACTAGGACTGGGGACAACCGGGCTCAAATCCCTGCTCTACCATGGAAGCTCGCTGGGTGACCCTGGGCCCTTTGCAATCTTTCAGACTAACCAGCTTCACAAAGTTGCTGTTGTGGAGATAAGGTGGAGGAAGGGAGAGTGATGTGATAAGCTGCTTTAGGGAGAAAAGCAATTAGGGAGAAAAGCAGGATATACGTTTTAAAAAGCATAATCATTCAAGCCTAACATGTTAGTCATTGCACTACACTGGCTCTGTGCCTCCCTGTGGAGGTTTTAAAGGCAGTAAGAAGATCCTAATTTCTATTAAAATAAACAGGAAACACGGTCTATTTTATTCATATTTACTAAGTCCCATTGATTTTCAATGGATTTCAGTCTCTTAAATGCCTAATTGTGTAGTTAACTTAAGTCCTTTTGATTTCAACTAGAAGCCAAATTTCACTGTAACATCGGGCATACAAAAAAAACGCTGGTAGCAGTGCACACACCTGCTATTTTGTTTAAATCAAGTTTACTCACCTGCAACTACAGCGTTGGCATGCCAGGGATCTGTAGCCCTGGTGGGCACTGTGCTGGCCTGGCACACAAATATTATTTATTTATTTATCAAATTTATACTCTGCCCTCCCAGCTAAGGCCGACTCAGAAATATTCAGAAATAGCAGCTGAGCTAAGTGAGACCCCAAATAAATGTATCACCACACTTGTACATTCATCTTGGCTGTGTAGAGTTACCCCTGAATTTGAGCATTTGTTGTGCTTACCTGTCACTGGATGTGACCCACTGTGTGCAACTTACTCATTTTAGCAGGTTTTTTCACCGTCTCATCTCATTTGCCACAGCCCTGTTGCATCACAAGATCCACAGTTTGTATTTGTCGTGTCCTTGATTGATAATTGACTTTGAACTGTGATTATTAAAGACAAAATGTGTGGAATGAGATTTATCTATCAGCCATAGATACTATCAGTCATGTGATAATGCCATGTAATAGTTTGATTATCTAATACTATCAGTCATGTGACAGTGTCATTGTTATGTACGCGGACCGCCACCAGGGGTCCACGGCACAGGCAAGAGCTTGGATCCTAGAACAATGGAAACTTCGGATCCTGGATTTCCCCAGCCCCAACCAATAGCCACCTTGGCGGGACATTCAAACCCTCCAATGGGAATGGGGGGTTGCTGGGTGGATATGTATATAGTTGGCCCTGTCGGCCGTTAGAGTTAGTCTTTGTCTGTGTTAAGTACAATAAACGTGTGCTACAGTATGTCGTCGTCTGAGTCCTCCATGAGGCGAACCCAGTACTTTTCAGTCATAAAACTGCTTGATGAGAAATGTAAATCTAGCTCTGAGCTGGATAGCTGAGGCAAGCCTGATCTCATCAGATCTCGGAATGGCCCCGCCCCAGCGTGCGACGTCACTTCCGGTGACGCTCCGCGGCGCGCGCGCACGTCACGGACCAACTCCCGGAGAAGCGGGACGCTCCCACGACGACAGGCTTTTTGGATTTGGCAACCCTAGTTGACTCTGGCAAATACTTGGATGAGAGACCTCCTTGAAATACCAGCAGTCAGGAGGACAGGGGCAGGCTTTACTCAGCCACCTCTCTGAATATCCTCCAGGCCCCCAGTCAGTCACCAGAGGGGTCAGTCACCAGAGGTCACCATGACTTCCAGGGGCACACACACACACCAAAAAATGAAACAAGAAATGTAAATCTAAACACAAATGATGATTCTTGTTAAAAATGATGTTATTGGCATCAGAGGTGTTTTTGCTGCTGCCTGCCCTTGCATCACACCCCTGGTATTCCTTGGTGGTCTCCCATCCAAATACCAGGCAAGGCCAACACTACTTAGTTTCCAAGATCTGATGAGATCAGGTTAGCCTGGGCTATCCAGGCCAAGCCAGCAAGCAGGTTACAAAATACAATAATAGCATTTCAGTCTAACAGCAAAGATTCCTAGTAAAACCACATAATGCAGTGGGACTGGAGCTGAAGAACTGGAAGGAAAAAACACATTATTCCCAACAGAGGTCACCTCCTCAGCTGATCCATTACACTACAGCTCCCCTCCCTCTACAAGAATGCCCTCCTGAACAATTTTGTGTTGCACATTTTGAGAAATGATACAAGGGTGGGGGGCCCTCCCAAAAGACTGTTCTGTAATACGGAGTCACCACAGAAAATGCATGTGAACAGGAAGCTGCTGATTTACCTGTTTGCAGGGTAGCACCTTCAGAAGGCTGTGTGCATTTTCATTTAATTGGAATATGAATGGTCGGCACATGAAGCATATAAGGTGAATAAGGACATTCGTTTTTAAACTCAGAAATATTTGCCCTATTTATAATGAACACCTTCCTTACAATAAATACACTTCTGCAGTAGGGTTGCCAGGCAAGGAAGGGTGCACGCAGAACTTGGTGTGCCCAAGAATAAGGAGAAAGGAAGTTGCTGTCACTTGCGGCTCCACATAGAGAAAGAACCTGACTTATTCAGCTGTGCTTCTGTTTGAAACTTATGCTGCCTCCTTCTTCTGAACCCTACCCAGACCCACATTGTTTTCCTGACCTGAAATAGTCCTGGGAAGCTGCTGTTTGCCCCACTGAGGAAACTTACCCATCAAGGAGAATTGTCTGCAACCCATCCCGGCACTGCTGAAGGCTTTTCCCTGCCTGCTCAATGCTACATCACTTTACTTTGCAGTAGAACACCACCCAATGAGAAGGGAGCACTCACTGGAGAAGACCCTGATGCTGGGAAAGATTGAAGGTCAAAGAAGACGGGGACGGCAAAGGATGAGATGGTTAGACAGTGTCATCGATGCAACAAACATGAAACTGAGCAAACTTCAGAGGACGGCGGAAAACAGGAGGGCCTGGCGGGAGCTGGTCCATGGGGTCGCGAAGAGTCGGACTCGACTGTGCGACTGAACAACAACAAACCCCACATTGGCTTATTCATTATTGCATGATAATAAATTAATCAGTTTCTTCAAAAAACAACAATACCACCCAAGTGTTTAATTGCACAAGGACTTGGCTGTAATTGATAAAGGATTTTGGCAACTCAAACACATTCAGACACATTTATTAGACAATTATAAGTGAGGGATCACTGTACAAGCAATTCTCTGTCATTTCGTCTCCATACAAGACTGGATGCTGAAGCCTAAAACCTCTAGTACTTGTTTGTGGAGATTATAAAGACGGTAAGAGTCCCAATCTTCGGACGATGGTTCGAATGCCTCGAACTTCTGATTCCCAGCCATCGGGGGAGACTTGGGCACCGGGTCTGGTGGCGCCTCCGCTAGATCGGCTGCTGTGCTTTGCTCGCCTTCGTTCTGGGTCTGTGTGGGAATGTCTGCAGGACTGCCTACCTGCTCTAACATCCCATCCTCGTCGCCAATTGTTAGATCGCGCTAACAAAGACCCGTAGAGTGATTTCAGCTAGTGATTCAGCTTTATTCGAACAAGCACACAAACGCATTCAGGAATCAGAACAACTTAACATTGGAGCTGGGCTCCTTTTAAACATACCGGGCTAATATAGCCACGCCTACTATTTACATAACAACCAATCAGATTGCATAGATAAAGGCGAATCAGTGTCCTTCCCGCTCAGGGAACAGCTCTTCTGTGATTGGTCGCTGATTTGAAGCGACCAATAGATTGTTCGTACTGTCGGAGCCTTGGCCGGCTCGAAGCTTAACATGGGAAGTGTATTGAACGATTCATGTTATGTTGTCAGTACATAACACCCCCCCAACCAGTCAGCTTGTAAAACCAGAATGTGGTATGTTTGCATACAGCATAGGGACAACTTGTGAAGGAGGGTGTTTGAGGTAGGTAGGCAAGGATTGTACATTTGGCATAGAAAGTTTTTTTTTTTTAGGGGGAGCTAGGAAATTTTG